CCACCCTCTTGGAGGCCTTACAGAGTCCAGAAATGGTCCATTTCCCAACTTCCGGTTGGACAGGAAGTGACTTTTTTGCTGTCCCCAGCGTCCAGAGCCTCTCTAGGAGTCTCTGGAGGCTGGGGACAGCAAAAAACATCACACATCCTGTCCAACTGGAAGTTGGAAAATGAGCTGTTTCTGGCATCCAGAGGGCCTCCGAAGGGGGGGGGGAAGGCTGTTTTCGCCCTCCCTAGAGTCATACAGAGGATCTGGAGCCAGGTGAGAAACAAAAACGGACCTTCCCCACCATCCCCAGGCCCTCCGCAGGCAGGAAACAGTCTATTTTCTTGGTTCTGGTAGGCCCAGAAGGCCCGAAAATCAGCTGGCTGGCGCACTGGAGCTGAGCTCGTGTGCCCACTGATATGGCTATGCCATATCATATCATATCATATCATATCATCATATATCATATCATATCATATCATATCATATCATATCATATCATATCATATCATATTTTGTGTGTGTGTGTGTGTCCACTGATATGCCTATGCGTGCCATAGGTTCGCAATCACGGTTCTAGAGAAAGCACAACCAGACACACACATAAACATTACCAGACAAGTGATTATCCTTATAAACATTCTGTACAAAAATAGTCCATTGCAAATAAGATGCAATACTGATGGGTTCTTACAAATATCCTCCCTCTAAATGAAGGTGTACGTCAGGATTGTATTTGAGCCCAACTTTAACATCTACCTTAACAATCTGGGGTCATTTTTAAATAGTGCAAGAACCATTTCCCTTCCCATAGAAGACTATGGTTATTATTACTGATAATAGAGCTTTATTCTCTCTCTCAAGATTGGAAATCAAACACCTCTTAATAGCCTTTGTTAAATATTACCAGCAAAATTCCCTCTAAATAAATTTAGACAAATCTAAGATTGTAAGAAGTTTGAGAAGAAATTTAAGTGCCATAAATAGCTGATTTTTATTTTATTTTATTTTATTTTATTTTATTTTATTTATCCTCCAACTGAGAAAAAGTAATACAACTGGAAAGGAAGGAACTTCGGCATTTGTATAAGCATTACATTTGGGAAACTATTGTTATAGATCTACTTCCTGAGATTGGTTTTCAATCTAGTCAGTTTCTTCCATTCATGCCATAGTTACAGTCAAAAATACATCCCCTGTAAACATCTGGTCAGATTAATAACACTCACTTGAATCCCTCTTTAGAATGATATAGTGTCTACCTTCCTTTTCATTAATTCTTAGGCAGAGAGCTAAAGATGCCATAATATATTACATCATCATTTTATGAGGTTTTACAGTATCCACTCTATCTTGGAGGGTGGGGATGGAGGGACTTTCTTTAGTTTTGCACAGTGTTTATATTCTCTGTAGGGTGGGTTTTTTTTTTTTTTTAACTTAAATTGACCACCAGAAGGCAGCACACAACCAGTTTAATACTATTCGAATTTTTGTCAGTTATATGCAGTACTATATAGCCCCAAATCTTATTATGGGGTTCCGGAGTTCCATCCCCAGTATGGGATTTAGATCAATTATATGCTTAATCTTTTTTTCCCATAAAATACCATTGGTCAACATAAATAATCAAGATATGTAAAAACTTACTTACTGTATGTAAAAACATTTTTTTTTGCAATTTTGCCCAGTTAATCAAAGGAGCCAGAAGTTGGCTCCTTTGATTACTTGGCTAAAGGTGGCAGTGCCGATGCAGCCAAGAATATTATCCACTTCCTTAGGTATAATAAACTCAAAATAATTCCAGATAGCATCATAAAAATCCTTGTTTACCACATTGGGTTCTGTCAATTTGGCATCCAGCAAGAGTGTATACAAGTAACAGAATCATACACCAAGCCTTCCAGGGTCTTATCCTATTTCCAAATAGAAGTATTTTGATTTTGTACACAGTTTTCCATAAAATACATATTTTGTATGAATTGTGTATGCAAATTATCTGAATATACATATTTTTTGTATGTAGCTTCTCTAAATACACTCATTTTTTTCAACGGAGAGATATTTAGAAGATGTTAAATTTATCTTCAGAATTCATTACAAGAGATGCTGTTTTGAAGGATCATCACATTCCTATTTGCAGCGAAATTAATGGCAATTCGCTCCCACCCCCAATTTCCATGGTTGATAAGACTGTGCAATGTTCTAAATTCAAAAGGAAAAGTTTGCTTCAGCAGTTGTGTGTGTGTGTGTGCTTACACAGAACCTTTGAGCAATTCCTTAAAATATCTAATATCCACAGCTGGAACTTCTCAGTTTTTCCTGAGAATAAAGTTTGGCTTAAGGAGTTGCCAAGTGGTGGTGAATACATGTTGAATAATAAATAAGAAAATTAAACTAAATAAAGAAATTTTGTCTTATAAGGCAGAGTTCCCCAACTTTCCAACTTTGTGGACTAGTGGTGGTGGGGAGTATATGGTTCTGTGTGAGTGACTGGCACATATGCCCATTGCTTGCACAAACAGACCACACATGCACTAATTTGCACACTGCTTGCGCAACTAGGGATGTATGTGTGCTCAACCTCCACTTCTGCAGCCCGCTTCCAAATAGCTCATGACCCAGTAGGGCCACAGCCTGGGGGTTGGGGACCCTCATTATAAGGGCTATTACAGGTATAAATTCAGACATCCAATAACTATGGTCCAAAGCAAGCATCAAAACTCTCAAATTTCTAGTAGTCTCAATATTCACACAAATCATTTAACATGCAAGCTAAAGGGGGGAAAAAGGATGTGGGGTGTCATACAAGAGCTGTTATGGGTCATACATGCTACTTTCTGATCTTTATGTGTGTGTGGCCGTGTGGGCGTGTATGATTCTTGATTGGGTTTAGAATGAAAAGTGAATTTAAAAGAATCTTAGAAATACGTAATTCTCTGAATGTTTTGATGAATATTTGGCCACTATTACAGCTGAATAATAAACAAATTCATAAGGGAAGACGACATTCGATTTAAAAAGAATTGTCTGGCAGATGTAGAATTAGGTAAAAACAACCAGAAGCCAAATCCTCATCTCATATATTAAATATTTATTTGATGGTAATTTGGACTGCCCTGTTGGGGCTCCCACCCCACTTTTTTTTTAGCTTTCATATTAGTTGATTTATGTGAATGATGAGACTATCTGGAAGTTGGAGTTTTGATGCTTGCTTTGGGCCTTAGTTCTTGGATATCTGAACAACCATGCATAGAAATATTAAATACCTAGCTGCTAATTTTCATGGTTCTACAGTCTCAACACAAGTACACCTGTAAAAATGACTTTTTTGGTCTGTACAAATGTAACAAAAGCAAATTTCTGACACATATGTGATGAGTGAGCTACTTAATTTATTCTACTCTTCATGCAAAGACAGTGATGCAGATAGCCAAAAGTAATTTCCTGCTCAGAGGAGATTACAGTCACCACTTCAAGAGCTGCAATGTCATCAGTTGGCAAATCAAGATGCTGTTTTCATGTTTCAACCCAGAAGTGGGTTTCAGTAGGTTCTGATCAGTTCTGGAGAACCGGTAGCAGAAATTTTGAGTAGTTCTGAGAACCGGTAGTAAAAATTCTACTGGCCCCTCCCCCATCTATTCTCTGCCTCCCAAGTTCCAGCTGATCAGGAGGAAATGTGGATTTTGCAGTAACCTTCCCTTGGAGTGGGGTGGGAATGGAGATTTTACAGTATCCTTCCCCTACCACACCCACCAAGCCACGCCCACCAAGCCATGCCACACTCACCAAGCCGCACCCATAGAACCAGTAGTAAACTTTTTTGAAACCCACCACTATTTCAATCCCTAGATAACTCAGGACTCAACTCAGTAAGATCTGTAAGGAACATTCTAAGGAAAGGTAACTTTTGGTGTCTATGTAGGTGACCTTTCTCCAGTTTCCTCCTCCCTGCTCCTATGGAACAGCACTTCTTCTTATCTCTACCTTATCTTTACTTCAACATTATATGGGAGCGACATGGCGCTCCCATATAACACCTCTCCTGTGCGAGCTGCACTGGCTCCCGGGTGCGCTTCAAGATGTTGGTTCTCATCTTTAAAGCACTTCATGGCTTAGGGCCAGAGTATTTACGAGATCGCCTTCTGCTACCGATAACCTCCCACCGGCCAATACACTCTCACAGAGAGGGCCTCCTCAGGGTGCCGTCGGTCAAGCAATGTCGACTGGCGGCCCCCAGGGGGGAGAGCCTTCTCTGTGGGGGCACCTGCCCTCTGGAATGAGCTTCCTCCCGGAATACAACTGATCCTGGATCTCTGCACTTTCCGTAAGGCCCTGAAGATGTTTTTATTTCAGCAAGCCAGTCTAGTCTAATTAGGTTTTTTATGGGTTAGTTTTTAATTGTATAGCTTTGGGGTTTTAAATTGGGGGCCAATTGATTTAATTTATTTTAGCTATCTTAACTTTTATATTGTATGTATTTTAATTTTGGCTGTTCACTGCCCTGAGTCCCTAGGGGGAGAAGGGCAGTATATAAATATAAATTCAAATATAAATAAATAAATAAATTACTCTACCCAACATTAGATTTTCTCCAGCCCTGTTGGGATTTAGAAGGCCACTGAGAACCAGTGAGGGACTATGGGACTAAAAGAACTATGAGACCTGAAAGAAGAGATATCACCCCTTCAATTAAGTCTTATTTATATTGCTGAGGTTGTGTGCCATGGCTGAAAAGCATGGATCATGCTATTTTGTCTTTCCATGTGTATTATCTCTCTTACTGATAGTTCTTAGAATTTGTTTTTTGACTAAATGCCATGGAATCTTCAGTAATAAATAAAGTCAGAAAATAAATATAGGTTTAATAGGAGAATCAACAAATGCAAAGGAAATCCTAATCACTCGTTGTGGGAAATATATATCACCTCTAAATAAAGGCTGCTAAGGCTCCAATACCTGTTGCTGGTAGAGAGCAAAGCATTTTGTCTTAATTCTCAGTTTTTGTCTTTTTTCAGAAACATTTGTTGGTTTGAGGATGTCACAGATGTTTTCTTGTGGTTGCTTTAGACTCAACTAACTACACAATGATTCATCCTACAAATTCTACTTGATTTCTGGGAGGAAAATGGGTGAGTAATAAAATTAAATGTAATTTGCTGTATCCTGGCATGATTAATTCTAGGATTCATAATATGAGCATTCTGGAGAAATGTTCCCTTTCACCTCAAAAATATGCCACAGCTGCCCACTCTTATAGAAAGAGTGCAGAGTGCTTTTCCCCTTGACAGCTTAACTGCTTTTCGCATTTTTCTCAAAGGGTTCAATATCAGATTTTTGATGTGCCCTGACTAATCGTGTGCTACTTTTCCTTCGTTCATCTCAATTTACACTCTTCAGTCTTTCTCTGGTTGTACAGTACTTGGCAAAAAAAACCTTGCAATAAGATCACATATCTCCCATCACTTGCCTACCTTGGGTAATGTCCTCAAACCCTCTGACTACCCTGTTTCCCCCGAAAATAAGACATCCCCTGATAATAACGCAGCAGCGCGGGTAGTGATGGGAGCAACATGGCGCTCCCATGTAACACCGCTCCTGCGCGAGCTGCACTGGCTCCCGGTGGTCTTCCGGGTGTGCTTCAAGGTGTTGGTTATCACCTTTAAAGCGCTCCATGGCATAGGGCCTAGCTATCTGCGAGACCGCCTGCTGCTACCAACGACCTCCCATCGACCCATGCGCTCCCACAGAGAGGGCCTCCTCAGGGTGCTATCAGCCAAACAATGTAGGCTGGTGACCCCCAGGGGGAGAGCCTTCTCTGTGGGGGCTCCTACCCTCTGGAATCAGTTGCCCCCTGAGATAAGGAGAATCCATGACCTCAATGCCTTCCGTCGTGCCCTTAAAACCCATCTTTTCCAGCAAGCCGGGCTGGCTTAAGAAGAAATTTTTAAATTCTTTTAATCAGTTTGTGACTTCTTAACTTTCGGGCCAAATTTATATATATTTTAACTGTTTTTAATATTTGTATTCTATGTTCTTATCTTGTACACCGCCCTGAGTCCTCAGGGAGAAGGGCGGTATATAAATTGGAAATTAAATTAAATTAAATTAAATAAGCCCAATCAGGCTTTTGAGCGCATGTGGTAAAATAAGCCTCCCCCGAAAATAAGCCCTCCCCAAAAATATTTAAACACAGAGCTGGAAATCAGGTAAAACGGCAAGGGGACCCCATCTTGCTCCATGCACCCCAAAATAATAAGACTTCCCTGAAAATAATGCCAAGCGCTTATTTTGGAGTTCAAAGAAATATAAGACAGGGTCTTATTTTTGAGGAAACATGATATTTAATTTCTTTTGTCCAGTTTTTAAATTGCTCTCACACAACTGAAGTGAATTACAACAGGATTTTTCTGCTAATGGAACTAAAAGGAAACTCCCTCAGATTTTCCTAAGTCCAAAGTTCAATACACTCCTCTCAGGTCATCTAAAAAATTCTGGCTGAAATAATTTCTTACTAGTTGGTTGGATGGGACAAGGGAGGGGGCAAGAAAAAGAAAAGGGACCTGTGTCATTTTCCTTATATTTCTAGAAAAATGAATAATAGAGAAAAAAGAAATGGAAAGGATGATTGATAAGCAATTATCATGCACAAGAAGTATCAGTAGGAACCAAAATTACTTTAGAGCGACATTTTAAATAAGAGATATCTGATATTGTGTTCCATTAACGTTGTTTTTCACATTACCCACTGATCCCATCATAAGAATGTAAATATAGATAAATATTTACATTTACATTAAATATGAATATTAAATAAAAAAAATTATGTTCCCTGGCAGCAAAATGGATATTTAGATAAATAAATGAAATACAGAAATAAAAACAAGGTTCTTTGTTAGGCTTAGTATTCTTCAATATCCTTATAAATGATTTAGAGGAGGGGACATAAAGAAAATTCATCAATTTTGCAGACAACATCAAGAAGGGGGAATAGCCAACACTTTAGAAGATAGGCTCAACATCCAGAAAGATCCTGAAAGAATTGAGGATCTTTCCAACAAAATGGGGGCTATTGAACAAAATGCAATTCACTGGGGAGAAAACTAATATTTTACACTTAAGCAAGAAAAAGCAAATTCATAGGTATAGAATAAGTGCTACCTGATTCAACAACGGTAATTGTGAGAAGGATCTAGGAATCCTAGAAGTGTGCTGCTGCCCTCTCCCCCCAATAAAACTCCAACGTAGTCCTAGGTTGCATCAACTCAGAAATCATGTGAAGTATTAGTTCTGCTTTATACTGCCTTAGTAAGACCACACTTAGAATACTGCAACCAATTCTGGTCACCATAATACAAAAAATATGTTGACACTCTATAACAGGGGTCTCCAACCTTTGGATTCTGGGAGTTGAAGTCCACAAGTCTTAAAGTTGCCAACCTTAAAGTTGCCAAGGTTGGAGACCCCTGCTTTATAAAATGTACCCTAAAGATACATATAATGTATCTTTACATTAAACATGTAAACATATAATGAACGGTTGCAGGATCTGGATACATCTAATCTAATGAAGGGAATACAATACAATAACAGTCTTCCAATATTTAAGAGGCTGTCACAAACAGGGGAGAAACATATTCTCCAAAGTACCTGAGAGCAATACTAGAAATAACAGATGGAAACTTGTCAAACAGAGGTCCAACCTGGAACTAAGGAGAAATTACCTGACAGGGAAAATAATTAATCAGGAAACAGTTTACCTCCAGAAGTTGTGATTGCTCCATTACTAGAGTTTTTTAAGAAGCAATTGACAGCTATTTGTTTAGAATAGTATAGGATCTCTGCTTGGGCAGGGGGTTGGACTAGAAACCTCTAAGGATCCTTCCGACTCTGTTATTCTGTATTCTATAAAAGGGAAGGAGAGAAATCTTGTATGATTTTAATGAAGTGGGCCCTAATAGATTGTTTGTTTGAAATGATTCACCTAGAGATGGAATTCAGCTAGTAGATGAGCAGGAAATTCTTATCATATATCTATCAATCTGAGGGTGAAATTGTAATTATTAATGGTAAATTATTTAAATCATGATATTAAAACAATTTTAACAGATATTCCCCCAGGGTTGTCTACACGGTAGAGTCAAAAAGATCAGTGATGCAAATAAAATCAGCAACACACATAAAAAAAATAGGTGGAACTTTGATTATACTATTGTGGCTGCCATTTTTACTTTTTCGATTATAAACTATGGACATACTTGTCTCTGCTTACCTCATATTACTCTCTCCCATTCTATAGAAAGAATTGGAATTATAAATACTTCCAAGTTTGTGCAGAACTACCTATCTTGGCCTCTACAGATTGAAATCCAAAATTCTATTATTATTTTTTTCATAATCATTATGATTTACAAATGTAAAGACATAAGCCGATCTGTAGACAACATACAGTATATTGACAGAAACAAGTCAGATAAGGATGTTCAATTAATTAAAAGTGAAAAGGAAATGACTGCTACATTTGTTCTGACTATTTTTTACATTTTACTGGTATTTTATGAAATGTGATGCCGTTCATTCTGAAGAAAGTATAGAAATGTGTATTATAAATGTATTACGGAAAATACAAACAAGTGGAGTGTCTGCAAAAAAAAAATTAAGACAACAGCCAGGACTGGTCACAATCCTGCTCCAGCTACCAGCCTGGACTATATCTTTAAATCTCGCTGTTTGAGAAAGTTGCATAACATTCTCAGAGACTCTTCTCATCCTGCTTACAATCTTTTTGGACTGTTGCCTTCTGGCAGAAGATACAGAACAATTAAAACTCGGACCACACGTTTTCTGAATAGTTTTTAATCCCAGAACTATAATTGCACTCAACAATGAATTAAAAGACCACCATCAGTGAGCTGTTGGGCAGTATTACTTGGTCTGTTGTGTGGATGTTTGGGTGGTTTAGGGGTGGGGAATTGTGCTCGGTGGGAGTGTGTTTGGGGATTTTATGTACTGTGTATAAAGTGACACTATTTAATGTCCGTTGCAGGTGACTAATTTAAAAAATGGATAGGGCTTCAAACTAATACACATTGTTTTCCAATTCATATGTTAAATATGTGCGTATTCTTGATTTCAAGAATATGACTACACTTTTCATTTGTTAAGCATGGACATCAGGTGTCTTCAGCCTTTCTTGCAATGATACCCAATTTGCAAAAGTGACTATAAATCAATCAAAAACAATTAACCAAAAAGCCAGTTGTTTATTTCTGCTAGCTGCAAACTATTCACGTGCTGTACTGAATAATAATGATCATAGCACCATGTAAAATATTTGAAAGAAGTATTCCCAAATCATTTTAGAAAGTTTCTTTGACATGTTAAAGCAGTTGTGTCCTTTGCAAGGCCCTATTCAATTACTTTGAAAATCATCTTCGGTAGAAGTGCTGTGTATGCATATTGGATACAACATGAAAAATAAATATCCAGTGCAAGCTCTCTCGAAAGATGCTACTTTAACAGTTTAAGACAAGAACAATAGTTCTCAGCTTATGACCACAAATGGGACTAGAATTTCAGTTTCTAAGCAAGATGGTTGTTAAGTGAGTTTTGCCTGATTTTACAAGATTTTTTTTGCCATGGTTTTTAGTGTATCACTGCAGTTATTGAGTGACACACATGGTCATTAAAAGAATCCAGCTTCCCCCCTGACTTTGCTTGTCAGATGTTAGATGGGAACATCATAAATGGTGATGACATGACCCTGGGGTTGGTTGCCAAGGGTTTGAATTTTGATCAAGTGACCATGGGGATAAGTCACTTTCTCAGGGCCATTGTAACATCGAAATGTCAATAAATGAATGTTTGTAAGTTGAAGACTAACTGTACTTTGCTTATACTAACACATTTTGCAAAACAATTTTTCAAAAGCTTTGCATCTTTTCATGTGAATTTAATTTAAAAAAATACAAAATAATAACTTATGGTTCAGATCTATCTGTCTGTCTGTCTGACTTTCTGGTTTATCTATCTATCTATCAGATGTTGTAGCAATAATACTATAAATCACTTTTTAAAGAAAATTTGCAATTGGAAATTTGCAATATTTTTAATTGACACACAGAGCAAATAC